AAGATTCACAGGAATGAGCTGACATGACACATTAAATAGAAGAATGAAACACAAATTTATCGATGTACAAAGAGGCAGCATCACAGCACCCAGGAAAACCACACGACTGTGATTACCCAGCAACCCAGTGCAGCTCAGAAGCTCACATCCCCTTTCTCCACAGCAGAGAGGGAGAATGGACAGTGCAGACATTTCTGAGGGGCTGTAAGTGTCTATTAGGGGAATGAGTAAAAATGACAGATACTACAGACACAGTTAGCTTTCCATATGATTCCCTGGAATTTGAATGGGTCTGAGGGACAGACTTTGTCTTGCAGTGGGCATCTATTAACCTTTATCCGTTGCATAGTTTGCAAATAAATTCTCTCAATCTGTTGATTGCCTCTTCATTTTGCTGAGTGTTTCTTTTGCAGTACAGAAGCTTCTCAATTTGATGTAATCCCATTTGTTAATTTTGGCTTTGATTGCCTGGGCCTCTGGGGTCTTTTCCAAGAAATCTTTGCCTATGCCAATGTGTTGCAGGGTTTCCCCAATGTTCTCTAATAATTTTATGGTATTGGCTTGTAGATTTAGGTCTGTAATCCACTTTGAGTGGATTTTTGTGAAGGCATAAGGTAAGGTCTTGCTTCATACTTCTGAACGCAGAGATCCACTTTTCCCAGTGCCATTTGTTAAAGAGACTGCCCTTGTTCCAGGTTTTAGTTCCTTTGTCAAATATAAGTTGGTTGTAAATGCTTGGATTGATTTCTGGTGTTTCTATTCTGTTCCATTGGTCTATCAATCTGATTTTGTGCCAGTACCAGGCTGTTTTGATTATAACTGCCCTGTAGTATGTCTTGAAATCTGGTATTGTGATGCCTCCAGCTTTGTTTTTGTTGTAAAAGATTGCTTCAGCAGTTCAGGGTCTCCTGCATTCCCATATGAATTTCAGCATCATTTTTTTTTTTTTTTTGACAGGCAGAGTGGACAGTGAGAGAGAGATAGACAGAGAGAAAGGTCTTCCTTTTTGCCATTGGTTCACCCTCCAATGGCCGCCGCGGCCAGTGCGCTGCGGCCGGTGCACCACGCTGATCTGAAGGCAGGAGACAGGTGCTTCTCCTGGTCTCCCATGGGGTGCAGGGCCCAAGCACTTGGGCCATCCTCCACTGCACTCCCTGGCCACAGCAGAGAGCTGGCCTGGAAGAGGGGCAACCGGGACAGAATCTGGTGCCCCGACCGGGACTAGAACCCGGTGTGCCAGTGCCGCAAGGCGGAGGATTAGCCTAGTGAGCCACGGCGCCGGCTCATTTTTTCCATATCTGAGAAGAAGAATGTTCTGGGTATTTTGGTTGATATTGCATTGAATCTGTAAATAGATTTTGGAAGTATGGACATTTTGATGATGTTGATCCTTCCAATCCATGAACATGGAAGATTTTTCCATTGTTTGTAACTTCTATTTCTTTTTTTATAAAAAAATTTGTTTATTTATTTATTTATGAAAGAATCACACAGAAAGAGGAGAGACAAAGAGAGAGAGAGAGAGAGGGAGAGAGAGAGAGAGAGGTCTTCCATCTGATGGTTCACTCCCCAATTGGCCGCAATGGCTGGAGCTGCACTGATCTGAAGCCAGGAGCTTCTTCTGGGTCTCCCATGTGGGTGCAGGGCCCAAGGAGTTGGGCCATCTTCTGCTTTCCCAGGGCATTACAGAGAGCTGGATAGAAAGTGGAGCAGCCGGACTTGAACTGGCGCCTATATGGGATGCCGGTGCTTCAGGCCAGGGCGTTAACCCACTGCACCACAGCGCCAGCCCCGTATCTTCTATTTCTTTCTTTAATGTTTTGTAATTCTCATCATAGAGATATTTGGTGTCCTTGATTAAATTTATTCCAAAGTATTTGATTTTTTTGTAGGTATTGTGAATGGGATTGATCTTAAAAGTTCTTTCTCAGCCGGCATTGTCTGTGTATACAAAGGGTTCATTTTTGTGTATTGATTTTATATCCTGCTACTTTACCAAACTCTTCTATGAGTTCCAGTAGTCTCTTAGTGGAGTCCTTTGGATCCCCTATATATAGAATCATGTCATCGCAAATAGGAATAATTAGGCTTCCTCCTTCCCAATTTGTATCCCTTTGATTTTTTTTTTCTTGCCTAATGGCTCTGGCTAAAATTTTCAGGACTGTATTGAATAGCAGTGGTAATAGTGGGCATCTTTGGTTCCTGATCTCAGTGGGAAAACAAAGAGGAGGCAGCTCACCAACTCAATAGCCAGAACAGGTTTATTTGGGAACAAACCAGAGCAGAATTCATTACCAGCAAAGGTAGAGACTGCCGTTCTCATACAGACAAAGTCTTTATATAGTCAGGGTTACTTCTTCTTATCCGTGGGTTCTAGCTGGATGAGCACCAGGTGGGGTTAAGCTGATTTGCTTGTGCTCTGGGACTTTTGGGCAGGGTTGTGTTACTTGCTGACTCGTGCTTCTGTTGTAATAGATTATCCTAAGATGGCAGCGTGGCTATAAGATGGTGGTACTCATGTTCATAATCCTTCAAGCTCTAGATTTTGTGAAAACAAACAAAAAACAAACAAAAACAAGGCATGAAACAGAGGAAAGGGCCGGCATTATGGTACAATATGGCCAGTGGTTTGGGTCCTGGCTGCTCAACTTCTAATCCATCTCCCTGCTATTGAACTTGAGAAAGTGGTGGAAAATGACCCAGGTTCTTGGGCCTCTGCCACCCATGTGAGAGACCTGGAAGAAGCTCCTGGCTTTGGCCTGGCCCAGCCCTAGTTGTTGCAGCCATCTAGGGAGTGAACCAGAGGATAGATGATCAATTTCTCTCTCTTGCTCTATCTCTCCTTTGTCTAACTCTGCCTGAAAGAAAGAAAGAAAGAAAGAAAGAAAGAAAGAAAGAAAGAGAGAGAGAGAGGGAGGGAGGGAAGGAAGGAAGGAAGGAAGGAAGGAAGGAAGGAAGGAAGGAAGGAAGGAAGGAAGGAAGGAAGGAAGGAAGGAAGGAAGGAATCTAGGGGAAAAAAAAACAGGCTGGTGTCAGACTATAGGCATAAAACTTTAGAGGTCAAGAAGAACTAGAAAACATAGGAGTCCAGTCCCTGGGCCTTTGAACACACTCTCCCAGGCCTGATCTTGGCAAGATGTCACCCTCAGCAGCAAATTGCTCTTCAAGAGTGTGTGACGGCTCTTTGCTGTCTTATCTGTCTGTCTTTCAAGATTTATTTGTTTATTTATTTGAAATGCAGAATTACAGAGAGAGACAGGGTGGGACAGAGAGAGAAAAACAGCCATCTATAATAATCATTTCTTGTAATACTCACTTCCCAAATGGCCACAGCTGCTGGGGCTGGGCCAGACTGAAGCCAGGAGCCTAGAACTCCATCCAGATCTTCATTCATGAGTGACAGGGGCCCAACACTTGGGCCATGATCCACTGCTTTCCCAAGAGCATTAGCAGAAAGCTGGATCAAAAGTGGAGTAACTGGTACTCCAATTGAAACAAACATGGGATGCTAGCATTGTAGGTGGCATCTTAACCCACTATGCCACATGCTGGCCCCTACGCTATTCAGTGTAACTAACCATGCTGCAGGTCACTTGCCAACATGTGTTTGTTTCATCAGTAAACCCTGGGTGAAGGAAGGAGATGCTGTGGTGTTTCAGAAGTTCATTTGTAGGGGCTGGCACTGTGGTATAGCAGGTAGAGCCACTGCCTGCAGTGCCAGCGTTGGATATGGGCACCAGTTTGAATCCTGGCTGCTCCACTTCATATCCAGCTCCTTGCTAATGTGCCTGGGAAAGCAAGAGAAGATAGCTCAAGTCCTTGGGCCCCTGCACCCACATGAAAGACCTGAATAAAGCTCCTGGCTCCTGGCTTTGGCCTGGCCCAGCCCTGACCATTGTGGCCATTTGGGGAGTGAACCAGTGGATGGAAGACCTCTCTCTCTCTCTCTCTCTCTCTCTCTCTCTCTCTCTCCCTTTCTGTCTCTCTCTTTCTCTCTCTCCCTTTCCCTCTCTCCCTTCCTCCCTCCCTTGGAATTTCTCCAACGACATTGATTTTCAATTTTAGAATCGACTTTAGGGGTTGTCATTGTGGCACAGCTGGTTAAGCTGCAGCCTGCAATGCTGCAGTCTCATGTTGCAGCTTCAATTAGAGTTCCAGTTGCTTCACTTTTGATCCAGCTTCCTGCTGATGCACCTGGGAAGGCAGTGGAAGATGGTCCCTGATACCCATATGGAAGACCCATATGGACTTTCTGGCTCCTGGCTTCTACTGGCTCAGCTCCAACTACTATAACCATGTGACAAGTAAACCAGCAGACTGAAGATCTCTCTGTCTCCATCTTTCTGTGTTTACTCTGCCTTTCAAATAAATGAAAAGTAAATCTTAAAAAAAAAAAAAGTATTTTCCTTCAATTCTAGACCAATAGTTCTCAGCTATTAGTTGGGGTGGGGCAAGATTTTTATTCCACTCCAGGGAACATTTGGCAATATCTGGAGGCATTTTTGAATCATCAAGTAGGTAGAGATCAGGGATAATGCTAACCCATCTAGGAGACCCTCCACAACAAAAGGTCATCCAGCCCAAAATGTTAGTAATGCCAGAGTTGGAAAAACTCATCTTAGACAAAGTGTGGAAGATTACAAAGCAGAGTTATCAGCCTCAGCCATTTAAAGGTAAAGGTATAGCTGAGGGGGAAGCTGGAAGGATAGGAGGGAAAGGAATGGAGCATGGGAACTATCTACCTCTTCCCTGAGGAGAAGGCCAAAATTCCAGAGCTAAGGAATAGAAGCTGAGTGTAATATTCAGAGTTACAAAGATAAAGAAAAATCATTGTAGTAAAGCTATCGAGCATTAGAATGAAGAGAATGTAAATGAAGAAGTGAAAGGCCATCACAGAACACACACAGTGCCTGCCCCATAACCTTTTCTTAATGTGAGTTGCTGTAAATAATTTTAAAAATCCTAACTTATTTGTAAGTGTCTTATTTTTAAGTCACTTCCACATTTTAACATTTTTTTATTTAATGTTGCTTTCTTCAGCTTTTAGATCCTGCAGTTTGATGACAATGGATGATCATAATACAAATTAAAGGGGAATATTCTGTTTTCTTTAGGATCACCTGTATTATCATATTATCACATCAAAAACCATGATAGGTTGAATAGGAAGAATACTGTATTTTTGACAAAATCTGTCCATAAGTTCAAACAAAGATCTGGTGAGGGAGATTTTGCTAATCAACAATTATAAATTGTGTGCAGTTTTCTCCAGTGCCTAGGCATGTGAAACTCCATAGAGTCAGGTCAGGGCCTGTTTTAATCTATGGTTATTGTCACTGTCAGCAGCAACAATGCCAGGGGCAGCATGTTTCAATTCCAGGCTTCCACAAAAATAAGCTGTCAGTAGGCATCGCCTGCCCCCTTGTGAAGTCCCTGTCACAAATCTTTATCTGAGGTCCTCTCCTCCCTTCCATCCCATCCCCGTGTCTACACCTTTCCGGTATTTATTACGGGGCTGAGATGAGAACTGGGTTCCAGGCTTCTCTCTGTCAGTTACTGAGTGACCTTGGAAAAGCCATTTGACCTCTTTGAGCCTCAGGCTTCCATTCCATAGAGTGGGAATATCAGTGCAAAGCTTTGTTGGTGGGAATAAACACATCACCTGCTACACTGGTGTCACTGAGGGATGTTATACAAGAGACTGGGGATATTTTAAGCTACACCAGGCTCAGCACCTCTTTGAGTGCCATGCCACTGCCTGGAACTGGCCAGCAAGGAAGCCCAGGACACCTGGCACCTGGTAACATGGCTCCTGCTGCTTTCCAACAGCTGTTTATGAAAACTGGGCTCCTAGTATACATCCTGAAGCCTCTGTGACTCCTTATTTAGGGAAAATGTAAAATCACCCCACATGGGACCAACTCGAGACCCCTGGCTAGAGCTGCTGTTCAGGAATTTACTGCAGGAGCCAGAAAGGAGCAAATAGGATTTTGTTTTTGTTTTTGTTTATGTTTTTCTTCACAACATCAGAATTTATCAATCCAAACAACAGGAGCTATTTAATTTGGACGTTCTGAAGTGCTGTTAATCTTAAATTTTTCTATTTAGAAAATAAACTTGGATGTTCATGAGCCCTAAGTGACACAATAGGAAGTACACAAATTCCCATAGGAAATTCCTACCAAATATGGTAAACCTGAACCTGATTATAAGGCAACAATCAGACAAATCCGGAATGTGGAATGAACACTGGCCAAGATGTCCATCCATGTGCACAAAGAAAACAAATAGAGGACATTTCTTAGATTGAAAGATAATAGGAGCAGGCAATTGGTCTTATGGTTAAGCCACCAGTTAGGACACCCGTACCCCATAAGAGTTCAATGCCTGCCTCTGGCTTCTAATTCCAGCTCCTGCTAATGTGGACTCTGGAAGGCAGCAGTTGAGGGCTCAAATATTTGAATGGTTGCCACCCACACAGGAAACCTGGATTGAGTTTCTGGCTCCTGGCTTCAACTCAGCTAAGTCTTAGCTGTTGCAGATATTTGAAGAATGAAACAGGTTGGGAACTCTCTCTATTTTGCTCTGTCAAATGAATATTTTTAAAAAGATACTAAAGAAATATAACAATTAGTTGCAATGTGTGACCTTGATTGATCCTCAGATTGAAAAAAAATGTACAAAACATTCTGGAAAAAGGAAAATTTGAATGTGATATATATATAATATGTAATTACAGTATTAGTTTTTAGGTATGAAAATGATGTTATAAGAGAAAATGATAAAGTGATAATGTTATAAAGTAAAATGTCTTTATTCTTTTTTTTTTTAAAGATTTATTTATGTATTCGAAAGGCAGAGTTACACAGGGAGAGAGAGGTCGTCCATCCACTGGCTCACTCTCCAAATGGTTGCAACAGCTGGAGTTGGACAGATCTGAAACCAGGAACCTAGAGCCAGGAGCTTCTTCCAGGTCTCCCATGTAGGTGCAGGGGCCCAGGCACTTGGATCATCTTCTACTGCTTTCCCAGGCCATAGCAGAAAGCTGGATCAGAAGTGGAGCAACTGGGACTTGAACTGGCACCCATATGGCATGCCAGCACTGCAGGCCAGGGCTTTAACCTGCTCTGCCCCAGCGCCTTTATTCTTAAAGTATGCCAAATTAAAATACTAAAGAGGAAATTGAATGAAGTGTCATGTTTGCAACTTTTTTCGTGGCTTAGCAAAATTGTGTGTGTGTATGTGTTGTAAAATTATCTGTGACTGGTATACAGACAGGTGCTCATTGTACTATTCTTTGTACATCTCTGTAGGCCTGGAAAACCTGGTAATAATGGTAATAATAAAATTGAAGAAATTACAAGCTCCTCTTAAAAGATCATATTAAGGTGAGTGCTGCCTTTCACTAGAGGAATCGTCTTTGTGGTCTTGGCATCAGCTGTCTAGGAAGAAGTCTTATGGCAGCCCGTCATGGAACCCTCCACTGACGTGCCCCTTGATGAACTCTTATTATACTTCTTCTCGCGGCAAATTATGCGTTGACCAATTTTCTTGGCTGCTTGTGCTTTCATCCATTCCTTAAGCATATGATTCTCTGTGGTAACACAGAATCTTCTGCGCCCGAAATAAAGGCTGTTAAGAAGGGGAGAAAAAAGTGTCACCATTAGCTAATACAAATAAATAAAATCCTAATAACACACAAGCAGTTCCTACCTTTGGATACTGTATTCTTTTTTATTTATTTATTTTTTTAAAGATTTATTTATTTATCTGAAAGGCAGAGAGAAAGAGAGAGAGAGAGAGGTTCACTCCCTAGATGGCCGGAGCTGCGCCGATCCGAAGCCAGGAGCCAGGAGCTTCTTCTGGTCTCCCACAAAGATGCAGGGGCCAAGAACTTGGGTCATCTTCTGCTGCTTTATCAGGCCATAGCAGAGAGCTGGATTGGAAGCGGAACACCTGGGACTCGAACTGGCACCCAAATGGGATGCTGGCCCTTCAGGCAGTGGCTTTATATGCTACGACACAGCGCTGGTCCCCTGGACACTGTATTCTTAGAGGCTGAATTCTTTTTTTTTTTTTTTTTTTTAAGATAGGGAGAAAGAAGGGGAGGGGAATGAAAAAGGGAGAGGGAGAGAGACAGAGACAGAGACAGGGAGCAGAGTGTTTCACTGCTGATTCACTCCCCAAATGCCCAGAACAGCTAGAGCCCTAATGAATGACCTTGGAGTAGGTTCAGAACCAAGAGATTGGGTTCGCATCCCTTTTCTGCTAGTCTCTAGTTATGTGGCACCAGTGACCTAGGACTCGGGCACAACTCTCTTCCATATGTGATGCCTTCCTCCCAGCATTGCTGTCAGAATCCACATTTGATAAATACCCGTGCAGTTCAGGTTTTAGAGCACCTATAGAACTGTTTCCATAACTCATTAGGGATGGGGTGGGAAGTGGAGGGAGTTCACCGCAAACCAACCCCCAGAATCAAATCAGAGCAGGGCATTTGTGATTGGATTGCATGTGACCTTTGTGACAAGTGCAGATGTCACCGCACTCCAGAGAGTAAGAATGACAGCAACCCATATACTTGTCTGGAAAGAGTTACAGTGAACACCATGAACAGAGTCACCTTCTGCTTGGAGTTTGCTTTTCCACTCAGACTCTCCCTTGTTTTGTTTAGGAAGGTCGTGAGCATTTGCTGGTGACTGAGGGCATTAGTCCAGTCACAGCACTGTGGGGAAGGTGCTGGTTGAAGGGGCTGGAGGGCTACTGTGGGGGTCAGGACATCCCTGAACAGAGATTGTGCATTTACTCCAGGGAGCCAGGGGCCCAACGAACAGACTCTTCCCTCTCTTGTTTGGAAAATTATCTGCATGTTGTTCACTGTGTGGAATCAGATATTCCTGCCAAAAAGCACTCACGCGACAGCATCCAAGTCACAGTCCCCATCAGCTCTCTGCAGGTGACATGTATGAACCATCTTCAGAAGCCTTCTGGAAAGGTGTGGTGAAACCTCAGTGCAACAGCTGGAGAAAAAGGGCAATATGGCTAAAAGAAGAAAAAAAAGAGGAAATGTCAATTTTTTTTAATTTAATAAATATAAATTTACAAAGTACAACTTTTGCATTGTTGTGGCTTTTCCCCCCATAACCTCCCTCCCACCCGCAACCATCCCATCTCCCACTCCCTCTCCCATCCCACTCTTCATCAAGATTCATTTTCAATTATCTTTATGTACAGAAGATCAACTTAGTATACACTAAGCAAAGATTTCAACAGACTGCACCCACACAACGGAATTTATAGAAAACTGGCACGGCTTTCATCTTTAGTGCTTCACTTTAGCAAGTGGCCCTTACTGAGGGCTTCATGAAACAGACCCGGGCAAAACATGCCTTTACATACTGAAACTCAAACTGCATTTGTGGGAGATAAAATGAATTTGGGCAAAACCACAAAACCAGAGATGGAAAAGCTGTGCATAATGCTGCTTTGCGGTTTCTCTTTCTCTCTTTCTCTCTCTTTCTTTCTCACTCTTTCTCTCTCTCTCTTTCTCTCTCTCTCTCTCTCTCTTTCTTTCTGTATTTATTTGAAAGAGTTACACAACGAGAAGGAGAGGCAGAGAGAGAGAGAGAGAGAGAGAGAGGTCTTCCATCGGTTGGCTCACTCCCCAATTGGCCACAACAGCCAGAGCTGCGCTGATCTGAAGCCAGGAGCTAGGAGCTTCCTCCCAGTCGCCCACGTGTGTGCAGGGTTCCAAGGACTTTGGCCATCTTCTACTGCCTTCCCAGGCCATAGCAGAGAGCTGGATCGGAAGTGGAGCAGCTGGGTCTTGAGCCAGCTCCCATATGGGATGCCAGAAATGCAGGCGGTGGCTTCTTCCACTATGCCACAGTGCCACCCCTCGAGGGGTTTCAGGCTGACTTGGCAAAGATGAAAGCAGTGACTCCAGGGGTCCTGGGAGCCCACTTCAGAGTTTCCCAGCAGGGAAGGACTTGGCTGAGCCTGGCAGGATGTGTAGGGTGGAGGGAAGTGAAGAAAGACTTGTCCAGACTAAGGGAAGTGCATGGTTCAGAGAGGGTTCAGAGACAGGAAAGCCTGAGGTGCATTTAGAATCTGAAGAAAGATGGAGCACGTTGTCTAAAGTGAGTAACGAGGAAGGGGAGTGATAGGAGACACAGTTTTACAAATCCTGAGGTCAGACCACCGAGGCCTTGAATGTCAGCTTTCAAACTAAATGTTGGAGAAAGAAGGGTTTTAGAAAAATCCACCTCACAGTGATAAGCAAGATGGATTAAAAGGGGGACAAGCAGGTTAGGAGGTCGGGGTGGGGTGGGGGGGCTCTTGTTACCCAGAAGCAAGGAGAGAGAGCAGCACACAGTGGAAGGAAACACAGTGCCCACATTAAAATGCGGGTCTGCGAATCCCTGCAGGCCCTGTGCGGGACATTCTCCTGTGCTGCTTATTTCACCAGAGGAATAGTGAGTAGAAAGAGTTCAGAAGAACACCAGCCGTGGGTTCAGGGGGCAGCCTCCCAATAACAGAGGGCAGTCCCTGCCAGCGCTGTGGCTCACTAGGCTAATCCTCTGCCTGCGGCGCCGGCACACCAAGTTCTAGTCCCGGTAGGGGCACCGGATTCTGTCCCAGTTGCCCCTCTTCCAGGCCAGCTCTCTGCTGTGGCCCGGGAAGGCAGTGGAGGATGGCCCAAGTGCTTGGGCCCTGCATCTGCATAGGAGACCAGGAGAAGCACCTGGCTCCTGCCATCGGATCAGTGCTGTGCGCCAGCCGCAGCGCGCTGGCTGTGGCGGCCATTGGAGGGTGAACCAACGGCAAAGGAAGACCTTTCTCTCTGTCTCTCTCTCACTGTCCACTCTGCCTGTCAAAACATTAAAAAGAAGAAGAGGAAGAGGAAGAAGAAGAAGAAGAAGAGGCTAACAGAAACAGAGCCCCCCATAGCAGCTGCTGTAAGCAACAGAGGTTCCTGTCCTGTGTGTGGGGAGGGGGAGATCCCTGTATCCACACCTGGCCCACAAAGAAAGACCAGGCCTACTCACAGCCTCATCACCTTGAAGAAAAGGAGCTTTCTATGAAATTTAAAATGACTATGCGACTCATTCTCTAGGGATCCAAACTTTCTGTTGACATTCCTTAATTCAGTTACTCAAAAACCATTTACTGAGCAATTAAAATATTTTGGACACAATGCTTATCACTAGGGAAACAAAAAAAATAAATAAATCAAGAGGCCTCTATCCTCAGGGGTTACAATAGAGGAGACACATCTGGAGCCACATGTTTAGGCCCAGTATAATTGTCTTCTGGAGTTCTGTCCTTCTAGCACACTCACACAGCCATAAGGACAGGTGCACGACCATTCCCTTAGCAAACCTTAGAGACTAAATGTCTACAAAACTAAGACCCAGTCACCACAAACAGAAAAGGTCATCACATACTGATAAAAGGGCCAATTCAGCAGGAAGATGTAACAACTGTAATCATACATGCAGCCAACACAGAGTAGCTAGACATATAAAGATCCAATACCAACAGATCTGCAGGGAGAAGCAAGCAGCTGTACAATTGCTATGGTCCCAGTATGGTTTGAGCGGGTGCCCCAAGGGCTCAGGTGTTAGGGACTTAGTGCTTAGTGTGGTGATGTTGGATGTGGTGCCTTGGGGCAGTCTTGTGTTACAGCAGGTTAAGTTGCTGCTTGAGATGCCCACACCCCCTATCATAGTGCCTGCTGTGAGTCCTGGCTCCTCTGTGCTTCCAATTCAGCTTCCTGCTAGTGCACCTGGGAGGCAGGGGATTATGTCCCAAGGTCTTGGTTTCCTGCCACCCACATGGGACACACTGATGGAGCTTCTGGCTCCTAATTTTGGCCTGGCCTTTCCCTGGCTGTTGTGGGCATTTGGAGAGTGAACCAGTGTATGGAAGATGTGTGTCTCCCTCTCTCTGTGTTATTCGCCTTTTAAAGAAATAAATCTTATTTTTAAAAGTGAAGGTAGAGTCTATACAAGGCAATTGTACCATTGGACGCTGGTAGGACTAATGAGAGGATTGTTAGGAGAGAGCAAGCCTGATCCCGGAATCCCCCTCTGGCTTCCTGTCTACCATGTGATCTCTTCCCTGCCTCTTGCTCTTGCTGCTGACATTACGATGACCTCTACCATGAGGCCCTCACCAGAGCTGAAAAGAAGCCAGAACTGTTCCTTTGAGCCTCCTGAATTGTGAGCTTTATAAATAAACCTCATGGTTTTTTTTTTTAAGATTTATTTTATTTGTTTGAAAGGTAGAATTAGAAAGAGAGGAAGAGACAGAGAGAGATCTTCCATCTGCTGGTTCACTCCCCAGATGACTGCCATGGCCAGGGCTGGGCCATGCTAAAGTGAGTAGCTTCTTGCAGGTCTCCCGTGTGGATGCAAGGGCCCAGGGACTTGGGTCTTCCTCTGCTGCTTCCCCAGGTGCATTAGCAGGGAGCTGGACTGGAAGAGGAGCAGCAGGACTTGAACTGGTGACCATAAGGGATGCCAGCGCTGCTTATGCACTGAGCCACAGTTTAGTCCTCTAAACCTCTTTTCTTTACAAAATACCTACTCTCAGTTATTTTCTTATAGTGACAGAAAATAGATACAACAATAGAAGCAGATGACTTCAATACTCCTCTTCCTATAATGGACAGAGATCACTGGGACATAACATCAGTAAAGAAGCAGCGTAGATGAACTACACTATAAACCAAACAGGTAACAGATTTGTACAAAACACTCCATCAAGAGTATCAGAATATACATTCTTCTCAGCTGCACAGAGAGCATTGTCCAAGACAGATCACATGCTACATCACCAAAAGTTTTTAGAAAATTAAGAAGATTAAAATGATTCCAAGTTTCTTTTCTGACCACAATGGAATGAAACTATGAATATGTAACAAAAGGAAAATGAGAACACTCACAAATACATGGGAATTAAACAATTCACTCTTTTTAAAAAAATATTTATTTATTTGAGAGGCAGAGTTACAGAGAGGCAGAGGCAGAGAAAGGGAGAGAAGTCTTACATCTGCTGATTCACTCCCCAAATGGCTGGAATGGCTGGAGCCAGGCCAGTCCAAATCCAGGAGCCAGGAGCTTCTTCCAGGTCTCCCATGTGGGTGCAGAGGCCCAAGGACTGGGGCCATCTTCTACTGCCTTCCCAGGCTATAACAGCTGGATTGGAAGTGGAGCAGCCAGGACTTGAACTGGCACCAGGCGGCACTGCAGGCGGTGGCTTTACCCGCTGCACCACAGCGCCCTCCCTGACAATACACCCTTGAACAATCACTGAATCAAAGAAGAAATCAAAAGGGAAATCAGGAAATATCTCAAGAGAGGCTAGCATTGTGGCACAGACAGTTAAGCTGCTGCTTTTGACACCAGTATCAAATCCCAATGCCAATTCAAGTCCCGGCTGCTCTGCTTCTGGTCCAGCTTACTGTTAATTTCTCTGGGAAGGCAACAGAGGATGGCCCAAGTGCTTCAGTCTCTGCCACTCATGAAGGTAACTAGGATGGACTTCAGGCTCATGGGTTCTGCCTGGCCTAGCCCTGGCAGTTGCAGCTCTGTGTGTGTGTGTGTGTGTGTGTGTCGCTCTTTCTCTCTGTAACTCTGCCTTTTAAATAAATAAATAAATCTTAAAAAAAAAAAAAAAAGAAGGAAGAGCATTAGAGAGAGTGGGGAGTGATGGCTCATCGGTATGGGATCATTTTTTGGTTTGATGGAAATGTGTTGTGGTTAGTTAGTTGTGATGGTTGAGCAATTCTGTAAATTTATTGAACATACCTGAACTTTGTACTTTTAAATGGTGAACTTAGGGGCAGGCATTTGGTCTAGCAGTTAAGATGCCACTTGGGACTCCCACATCCCATGTCCAAGTGCCTAAGTTCAAGTCCCATCTCTGTTCCTTTTGCTTCAGCCCAGCTTGCAGCATGGGAGAGGACGGGCAGGAGGTGTTCCCAGTATCACAGGGATTACATGGCTGGTTGGGTGGAGTCCCTGGTCCAGTTTATGAAATCCTGGCTGCCCACATGGCCACAGTGGTTCGAGCTCCCTTCGCCACCATCACCCGGAGGAGACGCGCCCCTGTCACCCAGCCAGGGGGTGCCCAGCACCAGATCTGGCCTACCGTGGTTGCTCTGCCTAGAGCTGTAGGAAAAATTGCTTGTGCACCTAACTCTTAAGGTTTTTGACTGACAGATCAATTTTTGAGCAGGCCAGCTAGAGTCTAGCACAGCTGTTGGCATTGTGTCAGATTTTGTCTTCTGATACTGTCCCTTTTTGTAATGTATCACTTGTTATACAGATGTTCCTTGATCTACCATGGAGTTATGTCCCAATAACCCATGGTAAGTTGAACTTACCATGAATTGAAAATGCATTTAATATACCTAACCTCCCTAACATCATAGCTTAGCAGCACAGCACATGCTAGTAGTGGTGGGGAATGTCCAGACCACAAAATCATTTGCTCCAGCCCTGTGAAGGCAACTGCAGGTGGGACTTGAAATCCAATAAATCTGGGGCCAGCGCTGTAGCGCAGGGAGTTAACACCCTGGCCTGAAGCATCAGAATCCCATATAGGCGCTGGTTCCAGACCCGGCTGCTCCACTTTTGATCCAGCTCACGGCTATGGCCTGGGAAAGTGATAGAAGATGGCCCAAGTCCTTGGGCTTCTGCACCTGTGTGGGGGGCCTGGAGGAAGCTCCTGGCTCCTGGCTTCAGATTGGCTCATTCCCTGCTGTTGCAGCCAATGGGGAGTGAACCAGTGGATGGAAGATCTTTATATCCCTTTGTCTCTCTGTAACTCTGCTTTTCAAATAAATAATCTGTAAAAAATAAAATTCCTTTGGTAAAATTTATCTGTTCTTGTGGCTTTTTGCCTATAGCACATTTTGCTTGTATTAACGTTGCTGCACTAACATTTTGGTTAGTATTTGTTAGTTTTACTTTTTCCGTTCTCCTTAATTTGGATTTTAAAAATTCGTTCTTTTTCCTTGCTTTTTATCCTATCCTTCTCCTGACTTGTAAGTTTCCTGTGTTCCTTTTTAAATATTTTCTTCTGAAAAATTAGGCTGGGTCAGATCAAGAAAACTTCTTTGCAGAAATATCTACAATGTCTAACACAAGGAGATGTGTTTCTTCTAGGGACAATTCCTGTGACAATATCTCACAAGTCCTGCAGCTCTACTTCCAATCCAGCTCCCTGCTAATGTGTCTGAGAAGGCAGTGGAGGATGGCCCAAGTCCTTAAGCCACTGCACCCACTTGGGAGATCAGGATGGAGTTCTTGGTTCCTGGCTTTCGCCTGGCCCAGCCTTGGCTGTTGCAGGTATTTGGGGAGTGAACCAGCAGATAGAAGATTGATCTCTCTGTTACATTCTCTGTTTTTGTGTATCCTTCTCTTTCTGTCTCTCAGCCTTTAATTTTTTAAGTTAACATTGTCATTTTGAATAGGTCAATACATTACTCAAATTTGAGAAAAATTCTTTTTGTGTTACATAGCAAACATTTTTCATACGTACATTATAGATGTTAAACCAAAAGTCTTGGCCAGCGCCGCGGCTTACTAGGCTAATCCTCCATCTGCGGCGCCAGCACGCCGGGTTCTAGTCCCAGTTGGGGCGCCGTTTCTGTCCCGGTTGCTCTTCTTCCAGTCCAGCTTTCTGCTGTGGCCAGGGAGTGCAGTGGAAGATGGCCCAAATGCTTGAGCCCTGCACCCGCTTGGGAGACCAGGAGAAAGCACTTGGCTCCTGGCTTCGGATCGGTGCAGCGCACCAGCCATAGCGGCCATTTGGTGGGTGAACCAATGGAAAGAAGACCTTTCTCTCTGTCTCTCCCTCTCTCTCTCACTGTCTAACTCTGCCTGTCAAAAAACAAAACAAAACAAAACAAAACAAAACAAAACAAAACAAAACAAAACCAGAAAGTCTTGAAACTGAGGAATCTCTAAAATAAAACCGTTTGTTGAGCTTTTAGAGCTGCTAATCAGAAAAGGGCTAGTTCCCAGGACAGGTTTCCACAACTTAGCTGCAAGCTTAGAGAGCAGCTGGAAATGTGTTCACTGGCCCCAGACCTAAGCGGGTTTCTATAATAAGTTTGGTGAAGGAAATATAAGTTGTGTAGATTGTGATAGAAAAAAAGGGCAGGATAGTGCAAATTTACGGAGTGAATCAGAGGATGGAAGATCTCTCTTGTATCTTCCTCTCTGTGTATCTCTGCCTTTCAAATAAATAAATAAACAAACAAACAAAAAAAGAGGAACACAATTGCCTTGCATCTCCATCATCAAATCTCATCATCTGTCTTGGGGGTGTGGGGAAGAAGAGTAAAGAATGTAACTGCAGCTGAATAGATGCCCACTGCAAGATAAGGTCTGCCCCTCAGGCCCATTCAAATTCCAAAGAATCATACTGAAAGTTAATTGTGTCTATAATTTCTGTCCTTTTTGTTCATTCTCCTAAAAGCCATTTACAATCACTCAGAGTTTTCTGTGTTCTCCATTCTCTCTGCTGTAGAAAAAGGGTATGGGAGCTTCTAAACTACATTGGATTGCTGGATAATTATACTCCCGAGATGTTGCTGTGTGCCCTTTTGCACGTTAATAAATTTGTGTGTACTTTGTTCTATTTACTCTGTCCTGTTAGTTCATTCCAGTGAATCTTCAAAAGGCAGAGAGGAAATTTCCCATTACCCCTCCTATAGATTGTCATCAGGAAGACAATGTGGGACCCGATGAAGCAAAATCTCCCAACTTTCGCCTGCAGGGCACAGTAGAACTTTAGTATGAGCGTACAGTGGAAAACAGCCAGGCACTTCTTCTCTGAGAGAATGCCAAGTGGCAGATGACACCGGTATACTGTGGGGAACTAGAGGCCCTGGGTGCCCTGTACAGGAGGCCATGGTGGCATCCAGGGCCACAGGGACCAAGCAATTAATACAAGACAGCAAACTTCAGAGAAAGAGGACTGATGTGCTGCTAGTATATATGGAACCATGGTTTTCAGATTAGCTTTTTTGAAAGAAGTTTTAATGTCCAATTTGTATAAGTCCATATGAGTGTGTGCATGTGAAATCTCATTTTTAAATGATAGTTCAGTTTCTTAAAAAGCAGACCAAATGAAATTTATATTCTGCCTCTGCACTTAGAGATCTATTCCAGGTAGAACACAAGAAAAGATGGCATCAGCCCAGTATTGTTGAGCACCTCCAGTTAGGGTTTCCCTAATGCAGTAGTGAGTGCTGCTGTAGAGCAGAGTCTGTGCAGTGCAGATTCAGTTACAGTCTCCCAGTTGCATGCTAGAAACTCACGATTTAAATTCTCTCAGATCTAATTTGCATGGTTTAATTCTTTCATCCTGTTTCCTCTTTTAAAGATTGAACTGAAACTTCAGGTAGGCATCCACGGGACTGACTTTGCTTGGGAAATTGCAGTTTACTTAGCCAGTACCCCTTGGTCCAGTCTCTTTTCCCCCAGGAGGGCACACACTTGTGTTCAGACATTTAGCAGGTTGTGGGAAGGGGACACATATGAATAACAGGCATTATGCCTACATACGGTTATGTATTCTGTCATCTAAAAGGAAATGCCACTCCAAGTTGCACTTATGTAGAAAGACTTCATTTTCCATTTGGCAAATTATCTGTTGCAAGGAGGTGCATTCCTGAAATTCCTCAGAGATCTAGAATTTAAATGTATGCCATTGTCTTGTAGGTAATCAGAAATCATTGAAAATACCTGTCTGAAGACATAAAGAGCTCTGCCCCAACCCACTCCTTCAAGACTGATTTGGGAGTCCTCCCAGCCACTGGAGGCCTGATGGCCAGTGCCCCACTCACCTTCTGAGGGTTGAAGAGCCACACAGGTAGCCAAGGCCACCAGCAAGAGTCCTGCGCACTGCATTCCTGCCTGCTCCGCTGGCTCTGGCAGTACCACAGGTGAGGCTGCAAGAGCAGGAAATGAAGCTAAAGGTGTCCTTGGGAGCAGATATAGAGCTCAGAGGAAAAGGAAGCCAGGTAGCCCCGCCCTGGGAAGTGCTCAGGGCATCCTTTCCTGTGGGGCTTAAGACAGCCTCCTGCTGACTTGTCAAGCTCCTGACTTGTGTTCCCGCTGCCTGCCATCAGGGGACTCAGTGGCTCTGACAGCGTGAGGTCTTGTGAGTTGGGTTACGCCTTAGAATGTTGGGAACCATTTTTAAAACTAGTAATCTACTTGAATACACTTATAAACAAACCAGCGTTCTGGGGTAGGGAACCGTTGTTTGAATTTTGTAGAAGCTTCCTGTGGGACTGTGATGGACATTGACTAAAAACCATTGCTAAAGGAATCAGATTCTTCATAGTGGCTTGTTGAAACCACAGGTTTCTGGGGACAAGTATAAAATATTATCTCTGTGGGAAGATATGAAGGAACTCAGCACGACTCTGTTCTTGGTTTGAAGCCAATATTTCCAGTGACTTTCTAGATTAATTATGAGAAAGGCAAGACAGATAGGGGGCAGTGCCTATAGAAAGGAACTAGAGCAGTAGAGTCCCACTTCTAGTTCAGCTTTGCAGCTAATCAGCTGTGTGAATAAAGGCAGGAGATACAGTGAAGGCCCTTGCATTCTAATCCCATTTTGTCCACTACTTAGGCTATAACTTAAGGAAATGTACTCAACCTTTCTGCATTTCCATTAGTTCTGATATTAATGAGTCAGGCTGGATGACCTACAAAGCCATGCCGTGCTGCTTCTACGATTAACTGTCCCATGTGGTAGCCACTAGACCACATGTGACTCTTGAGCACTGAAATGTGGCTAGTCCAAACACAGACCGTGGGTATAAAATGCACATGGATTTTAAAAAAAACTGATTAATGCAGTAACAGTGGGTTTTGTGCAGCTCTTATAAAACATTAACAATACAGTCATGTTTCTTTTCTGTTAAATGTTTTTGACAGTAAGAGCACCCTTTTGGCTCAGACCATTTCTTGTTCTGTTTTCAGTGAAATCAGTTTAAAAAAACTTTAAAAAAACAATATGACAGATGAATATAAAATATCTCAGTAATTTTTACATTGATTGCATGTTAAAATGGTAATATATGGAACCAGTGTTATGCCAAGCCGACTTAAGCTGCTGACTGGGATGCCAGCTTCCTCTCTGAGCGCCAGTTCTACTTCTGATCCAGCTTCCTATTAATGCATCTGGGAATGCAGAAGATGTCCCAAGTGCTTGGGCCCCTGTCACCAAGATAGGAGATCCAAGTGAAGCTCCTGGATCCTGGATTAGGTCAGGCCTAGCCACTGGCAAAATATCACACACACATAAACATTCCATAGCCTGCCAGGCACCTGAAATCACCACCCTAATTGTCCCTCCTGAATAGAAAAAAGCCTCTGTTCAGATGAAATGAAGGGTGACTGTTGAGTAACAGGAGTGATTTTTAATCCAACAGGAAAATATTTGCACAGAATTGTCAGGGTACTGGCAAGGATGGCGGGGCTTCATCTGATGAGCCTGGGATTGGATGCACCAGTGTACTCTTGCACCTCTCATTCGCTTCTCTTGCACGGTGACTTCTGTTGCACTGTGTGCTTCTTTCTTCTGCTGGGAAATGCCACCATGGCCCTGCCAGGGAGAAGGCACAGGGACAGAAAGCAGAGGGACTGCTGGAAAGCAGAGGGACTACTCCTTGAGTTCTTAGCACTTTCTGTCTCCTCCACACTGCTGCCTTGGCACGGATGGAGCTGGTGGGTAGTGGTTAGTGGAAGACAGTTGGGATAACAGGTAGGATGAAAAATATGACAGCACTTAGGAAGTTCACTGACTGGAATCAAGACCTTGGGGCAGATTTACTTCACCCTGGTGTTAAACAAACAAACTGCCATCTACCAGCAGGAACCTACAGACCACCACAACATCCTACATCACATCAATTTTCACCAAGAACAGAAGAGGGCAGATCAAGTTTGATTGGGGTAAGGCGAAAGTTGACTTGGGGGATTTTTGCTTGACAAGAACATGGTGCAGGCTGCAACTGTGGGGTGTATGTGTGAGACAGAGGGCTGTTCACTAGGGAGCCACGGACCAGCACTAAGTAGGAGGGAGCCCCGAAAGGGTGGATTCAGGAGAATGATTTTGGTTATTTAGAATATGTGTGTCTAGGCTTGGGCTTCTACAAAACCAAGTGAAGAGGAGGCTGAGAAATGTGTGCCTTAGGGCATGGGATAGTTTGAGGTTAGAGTCATAGAGTGAGAGAACTTGAGGACAGCCTGAAGGCTGCCTGGCTTTGTATTTTCCACTGTGAATTGTCTTAATGGCTAAGAACATCTAGAGGAATTTTAGGGATTTTTTTTTTGCTTATCCAGGAAAAAATAAGTAGTTTTCATTTTAAAGGTAAGTAAAGTATAAACCTCAGCTGTCATACAAATACCTGTTCCAATACATGATTTGAGTAAAATGACCTGTTATATTGGGAGAATAAATATTGTTAAAAGGTCATCATAAAAACAAAATTATGTCAGTGATCTTCCTTATCAGTTTTTTTTTTTTTTTGGAAATCAGTATATAGACAATTTTGAATAAGCTATCCATATTTAAATATATGATAATTTAGAATATAATCGACCCCTTCTATATATTGTTTGGAATTGAGAACAATCACCTTTACCCTGTGTGACATTTGAGTTCTGATTTGTGTGTGTTAGTCAGCTTTATGTCATGGCAATGAGATATCAGAGGTAACTCACAAAGAAAGGCTCTTACAATTCTGGAGGTTTAAGCCTCAGACTGAGCCACCTCATTGGCTTGGCCCCTGTGAGGGTGGCAGCTGGCAAGGGCTAGAGTGTTTGGAAGATCACATAGTGAACCCGGAAGCAGAGAGACCAGATCCAAACTGGGGCTTTTATAACAACTGTCTCAGAACTGCCTCTGAGTACACACCCCCATGATCAAAGACCTCTATCCGGACCCCAATTCCTGAAGTTTCCATCACCTTTCAATAGCTTCTCCCTGGAGACCAAGTCTCTATCACAGGAGTCTTTGGAGGACACTCAACACCCAAATTAATCTCCAAACCTGGCAGTTGGTCATGGGTTGGAGAAAGCATGGTGGAGGCAAGCATGTGTCTCCTATTGAAAACCAGGCTCCAAACAGTTCATGGCAAGCTGCTGAGTCACGGTATCTAAGTTTAGTGTATTGTCCTCTTTTGACTACAGAATTGGAGTGGGATATTTGGAACATATGAAAAAACTAAGAAGTAAAAAGTTTAAATATCTGGAAACAAGTTTCTTAATCTGTTCCTCCAGTCTCCATTCTGTGCATATGTAATCATTCATTCATTGAATAAACCTTGATAGAACGTCTACAATATGCAAGACACTGTGCTAGGCATACAGTACAAATGATGAGCTAAGAGGACAGGACATCTGTCTGTAGGGAGGACAATGACTCAGCAGTCATAGAAGTAGTCTGCTAAGTGCCAACACAGAGGAGCACAGTGTTTGGGACACTCCAGGGGGGGTCATTTTACCCAGTCAGGGGTGAGCCAGCTCTACAATGTGGTTTTCACTATTGCCTGGTTTGGTATTTTATAATACACTACTGAGCCTGGGAATGCTATGGTGGAGAAGGGGACAGAGAGAGCATAGTCATGGATACATGTGGTGCAGCCGGATAGGAAGCATAATTTTTAGTGTTCTATAGCACAGTTCCACTATGGTTAACTACCATTACTTGAGTATTTCAAAGTAGTGAATAGAATTTTGAATACTCCCAAGAAATGATGATGGATGTGCTAATTAACACATGTGTATTGAAATACCACATTATACCTCACAAATATGTGTAATTATTAAGTGTCCACTAAAAAGAAAAATGGGGGTAACAGGATGCCCTTCCTATGGGAAGATGCAGTTGGGGTTTGTGACCTGGCAAACAAAGCCTGGGGTGCATATCTTCCCCCACTCCTTTAGCAGGTAGCCTTATGCAGTACAGATCTGCACAACCATCCACAGTAGCCATGATCTTTCTGTTTCTTCTCATGTTTCTGATCTTGATGCCCTTGCCTATCAATATTCCCAGACTCTCTGTCTCGTCCCACAAACTCCTCTTTATTGTTTAAGGCACAGCCTCAATGTCACTCTGTGCATTGCTTTGCTTCTCCATCCTCTGTAAGGTGACCCTTTGCTCTGACAGCCTTTCGGGCTGGGCCTGGGGAGCAGGAAGCCTTCTTGTTAGCTTTGCCTGCCCAGTGTGCAGCTCTTGCCCAGTGCACAGAAGGCGCTGTATTCACGTTGGTGAAAGGAATGCTGCTGACCACTGTTACTGTATCACAGCCTGACATTTTTATAAAGATTTGTTCTGACTAAATAAAAACATGCCCTTTGTAAAATATTTGTGTGAATATATAATTATATTTTAAGGATATGATATGAAAATATAAAATCATTTAAAGCAGCTATTTGTCATTATATAATTTATGTAATACTTTAATAATTTATAACAACATAAAAGTACATGGCGGAGCCAAGATGGCGGAATAGTGAGGGTGCACACCGATAGTCCGGGAAAATTTAGTTTAATAAAAGGGGAGTTACGGTAGCCTCAGAAAAAAGAACCAGGAAAATATTGCAGAGGAAACCCTTCTGGATTGAGTGGTCGTGAATCGGAGGACCTACTAGGAGAACAAGGTCGCCCACCGCGCAGAAGCCGAGCCGCGGGACCGAGCCGCGGCAGCTGAGCTGCAGGACCGAGCTGCGCAAGCCGAGCCGCGGGACCGAGCCGCTGGAACGCGAGGTGAGCCCGAGACACCAGCAGGCAAGCGGAGAGAGGAGACTAGAGGGAACGACCCCCGGGGAGGGGGGGAACTTCACCAGGCTAACTGGAAGAGAGAGAGGTAACTGGTACGGACACGGGTTTCTCTCTCTCCGCTCACCTCTCAAGGGCGAGCAAGACAAAGAGCAGGCGCCATCTTGGACATACGTCATAAGCAGAGCGACCTCAGGTCTGCACCGGCCCTGAGC